GCACATCACTGCATTTCATTGGTTCGAAACATATCCGTATTCTAGGCTAATCTTGCTTGCAAGGTAAGGGCAAGGGTGCAAGCATAAACCAGGCTTAAAGCAGGTATGTAGTGGGCCTGCTGTACTTTTTTATGAAAAATAACTGTCAAAAAGTAAACAGGTTATTGGCGTCACTGGGAACAAAAGTTATGTCAATATTCTGTCTTCATTTGTAAAAAAAACTTTCCTTCACACTGCATTTTTATCAGGGAATCATTTTTATATTAATAATGGATGGAACATGAGCACACCAAACATTATTATAACATACAATACGCAGTGAGTTCTATGGTGGATCTCAGCTACTGTAACCCTGTCTTCAACCAGTGGTGTGAGAAGAACTCTGCTCTCAGTTACAAAGAATTGACTCCACAGTTTTCTATTCAAATATTCAACTGAACAATCAGCCAGCAAACGCTTCAAGATCATTAAACTGTTGATCTGAGCCGGGTACCAAGTGCATTTCTAAAGGGGTAGAGAGCCGAACAATTGACCTTGCACCAGCTAACGCTACATTACATTTCCAAGTAAGAAAAAGTTTTAATTGAAGACTTGAAGCAGATCAAGAATACCATAGAAACAGAAACACTACTGTTGGAACACATCAGATGTATGTAATAAAGGCTAAACTCCCAAATATCTCATTGCAATCATAATCTCTAATATCATTAGCTAACATCTGAGTCTTGACAAATCTAATTCATGAGTCTGAGGCTGAGTCTCTAGTTTGACACAGATGGTAGTTTGACTTCGGGAATGTGTGACTCATAAAGTCAGCGAAGCCACAAATTGTAGCACCTCACTGCTTATTCCCAAGAGTCCCCTAAAAACTACAGCTGGAAATCCTCCAGACATCCTCAGCCTCTGAACGTGCTGTACCTGCAAACTGGCAACCAGATGTCATACACTTCCTTCATTAGTGGAGAGATCAGTATTCATCATGACAGTGCATCAAAGAGTTTCTGTAGTAGGAAGAACCTCTGACCCATTAATGTGTCGTTTTTCCATTGCAGCAACCACCATAACTTGTGCTGATGAAGCCGGATGTTACATTGTCTGTTTTTGACATTTTTATTTATTAAACATTTTGCAGACCTTGATAAACAATTATGGACTAAAATTGGATAACATTTGAACGAAAAATATTTTAAACCTGGGATGCAGTATTGCATGGTTTGCATGACTTTAAAGGCTTGCTTAAATTTTTTTTTTTTGTATTTTTCCAAACTCCAGGTCTTGCATAATTGACCTACCAATACAAATATCGGTTTTTATTAAATGTTGACCCACAACATAATTTATATCTCAAAAAAGTTTTCAGAATTTTTAGATCCTGTATGCTCTATGTCAGATGGAGGTTTAGAGCTTTAAATTATAAAAAACGGTGCTGTAATTAAGTTCAGCTTGTTGATTTGGCAGCTAACCAGCTGCCAAATCATAATAGAAAATAGTTTTGTATCTATTATGCTTTTCAGAGTGTTTGTTATAACACATCACTGGTAATGAAAATAATTATTTTAGAGCTTTCTTCACACAGAAACATCCAACTGTAGACTGATGATTGGTTGTTATCCATAAAGCACCATATTTTCAGATCTCAAAGGAGGATTTCTTCATTTTTTTCTTCTTTTTTTTGCCAATTATTCATTTTTAGTCACAGTCTGTTATATTTTCAGTTCAGTGTAGTTCAGTTTAATCATATAGCGCCAATTCACAACACATGTAATCTCAAGGCACTTTACAATTCACCAGATCATACAGTCAAATTGATTCAACGTTTTCTTTCTAAGGAAAACCAGTTGATTGTATCGACTCATTGACTCGAATGCAATCCCTCACACTAAGCATGCTTGTAGCGACAGTGGAGAGGAAAACTGCCTTTAAACAGGAAGAAACCACCAGGAGAATCAGGCTCAGTGTGAACGGCCATCTGCCGAGGTCGACTGGGGTTCAAGACAGAAGCAGAGATACAAATAGCAACTGTAAAAGGCGGCCCCTTCCAGTAAACACACTGTCAGAAGATGAAGAGAGCACATCCAGCCAGTCACAGTCAGAGAAAAAAGACTTCGCTGAAAAACAGGACTATCTCCAACATCTTCAAACAAAGGTGACAGCTGATATTTCTCTCCAGAGTGGTGTCATAGCAACAGGAACAGACGAGGCAAAGCTACTATGAGAAAAAGCAGAGAGACCATAAAGTTAGAGATTGAAGTAAAAGATTCTGCAGATTGGGAGAATAGAGATAGAATGAAGCAGAATGATGAAAAAGGGGTCCCTATGTCCTCCAGAAGTCTAAGCCTATAGCAGCATAACTATAGCGATAGCTCAGATACATTCTTTCATACTCATCTTCTTAAGCTCTGTTTACATGACAACTAGGACATTTTTCCGTTTGTGACATTTTAAGTATGATCTGTGTTTACCAGTTAAAGTGGGTGATTCCCCTGCCATGCCACTAGTTGGCAGTATGTTCCTTCAAACCACTAAATCCTTAAGCGAATGCGCATATATTTACAGATTAAGTCTGTGCTTTGTTCTTTATACAAACTTTATACAAACTTCATCAATTAATCTGAGTTTTTTGCACGAATTCCAAATTTTCTTCAGCTCCTTTTCTTTATTTTTAGTTTTTGCCACAATACAGTATGTACCGCAGCTTTTTAAGTTCCCTACAGGGTGTAATAAACCCATTCCCTTACATTTCATTAGGACTGACCGTGGGCATTGTACTCTCTCAGCAGATAAGGTACTTCTAAGGACCAAATGTGATTAGTAATTGTGCGCCCAGTGTATGCCTTGGCACCCAAGGCAATAAGATTATAAGCATTAAATGTTATTTTTTCACCCTGGATTTGGTCTCTCAGGCTAGAAGCTGTCGTGTATATATGAGCGGGCCGTGGGAGTTGGAAATAATGTATTTAGAACATGTTGATGTGTACTTTTCCTGATATAGAAAAACGCACCATTTACTTCCTGTGGATTTGGTTTGGTTGTGTTGGAGTTTAAAGTCAGTGTGTACAAGTTAATCAATCTTCTGATGATTTTCAGTCATTCGCTCTTACAGAGCTGCATGCAGCTGCATTCACACCGTGTCCTCCCAGCGTTCACTTTCCCTCCTACTGATATTCCCCTTTGATCAGAAGCTGAAGCTAACAAAATCCCCTCTTATTCGCTTACCGTACTCTGTTGGAAACACGCTGGGAATGACTGAATGTTTGGGAACATTCTAAATGGATTGATGAAAGATGAAAATGTCAGTCACTTTCATCACCCACCCCAGAAATGACGGATGTGGCACATGTAGTGTAACAGATCCACATAGGTCTACCTATTAGGCATTACTAAGAGTTTCAACCTGGATACTAATTCAAAAAACAGCTTCCAGAGTTGTGTTGGTTTGGAGCTGGGAGTACGTTGGCTGGAACAACATGATCCTCGGAATACCACTGTTTACTCCATTTGCTGGAGCAGAGGTGGGAGGGAGGGGAAAGCCAGCTGTGTGATCAGTATTGATCGTGCAGAGCTCGCTGCGGGGCAGATTTGTCCATGTTACATCTGTGATGTATTTGGTGTGAATGAAAGTGTGCAGCCGTGACCTATGACTGGATGTGTGGTGTGGAAGGGTCGTCTGGGGGAAGTGGCAAAGCAGAAATGAGGGATATCAAAGGTTTTTACAAAAAGAGAGTTCAGGGGTGATTCGTCAAACTGACGGCGACGTGTGCATAGTAAGGGTCAAAAGAAGGGTAGAGACAGGAGCCCAGCGGCGTGAAATTATAGACTGCCAGTAATCATTTAAACCCCTGATCAATTACTCTTTTGGCAATGTTTTATTTTTATATGTATGAAGCAGAGTTTGCACATAAAATATTGTTGATTTTTCATGAAGTCCAATAGATGCTTTGTTTTATTTATTTATTATCTTTTGACAAATAAAGCTCAAACAAAGTTTGGTTTTGATCCCCTCTTGTAAACATTTTATTGATCTCACACTGGAGAAATCTACCTTTGGGAGCAGTGGGCTGCCATCGTGGGACGTGCGGGGAGTAGTGTGGGGTTAGGGGTCTTTGCACAGAGACCCAGAGTGGCAGTCTGTGGGAGTGGGGCTCGAACTCAGAACCTCAGGATTCCAAGCTCTATGCCCTAACCACTAGGCCACAGCTCCTACCTACCTTATTAATAAATTGTTTTAGTTTATATCTTTATATACTTTACCTGACAAACATTAAAAAACAAAAACAGTGTAGTCCTGTCTAAGGCAGGACATGAAGAGCATTAATTAGAGAAGCAGCCAAGAGCCTTATGGGAATTGTGTGGGGGCTGTAGAGATCGACCAGTCGGGTGGGAGAATCTGCTAACAGGAGAACTGTTAGACATTAATTTGTTATTGTTAAAAGAAACCTAGAAGAAATACTTAAACTTAAAATAATTCAGCTGTATTGTACAAGACTGGACAGAAGTAACAGTCTTTAGATGTTTAAGAAATACCCCAAAAAAGACTTGGAGGTTTTTAAAGCTGTGCATTTCATGCAGTTTCAGACATTTGTTTGGAGCTAAAGCCATTAATCATGTTCCTTCTATGATTTGTATAATCTTTTTTTTTTTTGTCATATAAAATCTCAATAAATACACTGGATGCTAAGTGGATCAAGATTTAAAAAGCAGCAGACTCCAACCTGGACAGGATTGGTTCTTTAATCTCGCCTAGCCTCATCAAACCAGAAGATTATTACTTTAACTGCATCTACTATTAAAAGTTTGAGTGCAAAAAATTACTGTGGTGAGGGATGGCAACAATATGGTTGTTTTTAAAATAATATATAAATTAATAGGGGCTCAGTTTTATCTGAAGTATTTGAAAATGCTGCCCTCTTGTGTCCATACTTATAAATGAAGTATTACAAAGTTTTTATTCCTCCCTTTGAAGCATTTTATAGATCATAAATGTCTCTTTATATTTCCAGGTGATGGTCACACTGTCCAAACTTTCCCACACAAGCATCGCACAACAAACTGGAATCAGGTCTGTTGCAATGATTATAGTTGACACACAAAAACATGGCTATTAATTGTTTTATAAAAATTGTTTGCTTCCCTTCCACAGACCTTTTCCTACAGAGGAGAGAGAGGAAGAAGATGAGGACATCTACAACCACCTAGAGGACCTAATCGAGTAGGTTTCCTCCACTTACCCGCTTCTGCTCTTTTATTAGACTTACTTTTGTCTATTTAGTTTAATCTTTTTCTGCCGGTGAAAACCCAACTAAACGTTGCAGATTAGGGCAGCATTTGTTCCCTGGGTGTTGACTGGAAGGCAGCCACCTCCTCCGCTGCTCTCAGTGTGCGCTCAGCCCCCCCACAGCTTTTCTCAGTTTACCACAAGTTGTGTGGGACTGGGCTTTCATCATTTGTTATTCACGCCCTAATTAGCACAAACTTATGAGCTGATCTTTGCTAAATAACAGATTTTGAAACAAAATAACTGCTAATACTTAGATATGCCAGAAATGATATTATTAATTTAATTTCTTGCCCCGGAGCACGGAAAAAAAAGAATAAAAACTATCAAGTCATGATTTTTTTTATTTGCAATGACTTCATCAAAGCATGTTGTGAGATTTATGATGTTTTGGGATTAAAAACAAAGCATATAGTTATATAGTATTACATAATCTGCAATAACTTCAAATAGGTCAGCTGGTGCGTATCCACTGCTGTAAATCCTTTATCTGAACACAGTGCACCGAAATAACACAGTAGCCCTTTTAATATCGATTCTCTATATATTATTGGAACCAGTCTGCCAACTGCCATGTTCTTTTTTTTTGTTTCCTATAATAACTGCAGCTTTAATGCTGCTGCATCCTCGTTTTAAAACACAGTGGTATGAGAAAGGATTCGACTTTTCTACCATTTATTCAATTAAATCTTGAGGATTTCAATATATTTTGATGGGATTTTTTGTGGTAGACTAATGCAGAGTGGCTTAAAAATTTCAGTTTTTTCCAAAAAAGTCTGGCACACATTTGTGTAAAGCCCCCTTGAGTAAGTCAGACATATAGAGCATTGTTGAACATATATATTTTTTTAATTTTCAACTGGATGAGAATGGAGTTTTATTCAGCCATTCTATTACATAGACTCTCATTGTAATTCTGGTTGTATTTAGTGCTGGATGATATTTATATAGTTGGGTATACCTCCACAGTCGTCAACTTTCTGCTGCTTTTAACCAAAAATCTCCAGAGCTCTGACTGTCTTGACTGTCCCAGCTGAGAAAACTAGGCCCACAGCATGATTCTGCCACTGCTACCCGATGGGGATGGGGTTTATGGGTTAAAGATCAAATACAAAAACATCCAATTTTCCTCCATCCCCAAACAGAACCTTCAGTGATGGATTTGTTTTCCATGAAGCACAGATTTGTTAAATGCCGACCTGATAGCACTGCCGTCAAAAGGTTCTCCCACCTGAGCTGTTGATCTTTGCAGCTTCTCTTGTTTCCACCAATCGCCTGATCTTGATTCATATATCTTGGTGGTTTTGCTGTCTTTTCATACAATTTCAATTTCCAAATGACGGATCGAATCTTTAAGATGTCTAAAATTTGGAATATTGTTCTATAACACACTCCTGGAATAAACCTTTCTCCATTGTTTAACGAACCTCTGAGCCCTTCACAGAACCGATCATACTGAGCTTACATTATACGCAGGTGGACTCAACCTACCGCTTGATTATATTTGAATGTTTTATAACGTTCAAATAATAAATTTGAATTTGTGATTTGTGTATGTTTCATGGTAAAAGGAGCTTGAGTTCAGTCTTGAGCTACTTTCTGTTAGTTCCTCATATAATGCCCTGAAGTTTGAAATTGTAACATATTGAAATGTAAAACCGCAGCAGAGCGGGTTATGGATATTGTTATTACTCTTCAGTTGAATATCCTGCTGCACTGTAAAGACAGAGGCCGATGTAATTTAAACCAGTGGGGGCAGACAGGTCTACAGTAATAAAGATGTTGGGAAGCCCGACAGTGATCTGATCTGTGTTTAGCGCCGGCAGCTCCTATCGTATAGGAAGTAGTCTGCTTGTAGCAGTGACAGAGATAAACACGGCTTTCTAAGTCAGCGGAAGGATGGGGAATTTGTCGTTAGAACTTGGGGGTTTGTCGGAAAAAAGCCTTTATTCATAATTGATATGAATTTCTTTACGTTTAGTCTTATATAGCGGGACATTGAGGTTCATATTGCTTAACCACTGGCTAAGATTATCTTTCAACCACAAACAGTTGGCAGGGTGGTACAAAAGCAGATGTACATCGTTATATCATCTGCATAGAGTGTCATCTTGGGGGTCACAAAGTAGCTAGAATCGACATACAGCAGCCAAACCACACGAAATCCTTATATCTTAAACTCATCATGCATGAATATATATGATGAGTTAAGTATTTCGGGTTTTTTTTCTTGAACTTCTTAAGATACCTGGCGATTTCTAATAAAAAGCTCATAGAACATATAAAAGAATTTAGAATTTTATCAGACTAATCTTTCAAAAACACCAAAAAATAGTTCCCCAGCTAAAAAAAAAACAACAACCTTTTGTTATGCTTATCTCTATCACAAAAACATATCCTATAGAACGAGAATGCAGAGATGTGTTTCCTGCAAAACAAGGTCAAACAAAAGTGTTGTGAACATTTGTACAAGTAGTTTCAACTTTTTATGATTTTATTAAAACCTAATATTAAACAGTGGGGTTATTTCATAACTATATAAAAAATATATACTCAAGCTACCAGTTTGGCTTGAAGGGTTTTAAAATTGTGTGATTATGCTACTATGATGAGAAAGTAATTGATTTGAAAGCTTCTGACTTATTTTACCTGAATAGATCCCTTTCCTCACTAGTGGTTCTCCATTCATTGAGAAAGAACATGATTTCTTTATGCCAAATCCCACAGTGTCAGCTCTCCTGCTGACTTACATTTCTAAGCATTTTGTAAGTTGTTCCTGAACCACTTTCACGCTCCTGGATTTAAAGCGGCCCTCTCCTCACAGGATTATTCCGTGCCGCAACCATAAAAGCAGAACTTTTTGTGAGCTTTTCCTGTGCTTGCTGTGAAAAAAAGAAAGAAAAGAAAGTGAGGATAAAACACCAGTGTTATGTCACGAGGTCCAATTCACACGCTCCATCCCGTGTGTCCGCAGTGAGAACGGCGTGGAGGACGAGGAGGATCTGTACGCCTGCGTGTACGACGACGAGGAAGGAGGGGAGATCTATGAGGACCTGATGAAGACAGAACCTGTTCCTGCTCCGGTTCGTGCTCCAGACGTCACCTTGAACACAGATCCAGATGCTGAAAAAACTATTTTTTCAAGCAGCAATATAATCTCATAAACTAAAAAAAGCTAAATCTTTTTACTTAGTGCCTAATCTGTCTTCAAAATGAAACAAAATATAGTTATTAAAAGTAGGACAAAAGAAATATAATTTCATGCTCATGTTAGATTTCTATATTTTCCCTGTATTTGTTTATTAAAAAGGAAAAAAATAACAGTTTTTCCCATGTTGGCAGACATTAGAGAGCATGTGTAACCCCTGACCTCGCTCTGAGGCTTGTATCGGATACATCTGGTTCGTCAGCCCACAGCACTGACACATGGTAACCGGCCTACGTGTGTGTATATGTGTGTGTGTGTATAGACGTTCCAGAGGCAGGCAGAGATTGACATCAGGAGCTGCTGTTTAACAGAGATCAAGCAGACAGAGGAGAAATACACTGAGACCTTGGAGTCTATACACAAGGTACGTACAGACTGAAAAATGGCAGTCATTACCCTGCTTTGAAGGAGCCGTAACATAAGACTGGTAATATGCTTTACATTCTAGATCCATAGAGTTAATGTTAACATTTCGCACGATAATGTTTCATGGAAGCACACTGAAGTGTTTGTGTGTAGTTAAGGAAGACGTATGTGGCTCCTCGCTTTCTGTATGATGTTATAGTGTTGGAAGTTCAAACCGATGGTCGCTAGAGCCTCAAATAATGAGGAAAACACATTTGGAAGGAGTCACTGAAAAAAAAACTTGCTTCCTGATTGAGAAAATGCATTTTTCTATCAGCCCAGCAGGTATTCATCTCTCCATGGCACCCTGAAGTAGGCTTATATAATTAGAAGAGGATAGTTTTAGCCTTGTGCTGTCAGTACTTCCTGTCAGCGCATATTTTGAGCACTTTAACAGATCCATTTAGAGTTAAGGTGAGTATGTGTCTGGCTTGAATTGAATATGCTCTCCCTAAGCTGTTCTCAATGTCTATAGGAACATTTAATTTCTGTTTGCTTGGTGCATGAATGCAGCCTGATGCTGAGCACCATTCCTCTTAGGTCACTCTTCAAATTGGTGAAGATAAAAAAAAAAAAAAAAATCATGCCAATTATAAAAGGCATGTCTGTTTTGCTCAGGCGGTAATTAAGGCAAAGAAAAAGGAAGCAAATAATCTTTAATGTTCATTGTTAGACTGTTAAAACAAAAGATTTCATATTACCATTAGATCCAATCTTTATCACAACAGATAAAGCGTAATGTACAGTACATCAGAAAAAAAAATAGATAAGATTTCTTCAGTTAAAAGTAATTTAATGATGAAGATGAAAACTTTGCAGTTTTAGTATTCCATAAAACACACATTTTCCTATGTTTCCTATATTTTTTGTTCTTTGGGATGAAATCAGAGTACTGTAATCAGATTATGCAAATCTCAAACAGATAAACCCTGATTTGAACCCAGAACTTTCTTGCTGCAAGATAACACCACCAACTACCCTAAACACGTACTTGAAAAACAAGCCAAAACAAACAAAAAATACATTAAATTAAACTAATGAAGTTGTATCAGACTTTCTTTTCCAGAAAAGTGTCTCAAACTCACAGCTAAACATGTTGGAAGACCTGAGACACTCAGTCGGAATCATAAATAAAAAGCAGCTAGAATAAAAATGGTTAGTTATGTATATAAGAGCTTGTAAAACTGTTTTTGTCATAAAAAATAGATGGCATAATTGTGAGGTCTTTATCATGGTTACATCTAACTGCCTATAAAAAAGCTTAAGCTAAGTACCAAATTGGAAGGCAGAGTATTATTTGCAACTTAAAACATCATTATTATACTTCATTCGAAGCTCATCAGCATTCAGTTGTAATGACAGAAAACCTTGTTTATTAATGCATGTTTTTTAAAAAGGATTTCTATAAAACATCATAAAATAACATAAAAAAAACAAGCTCACTGTAGAAAAAGTACAGAATTTTATTTTGCTATTTTTCAGGTGAAAATAAATACGGAATTAAATACGAATATTATGAAATGATAGTTTAAACACAATTTCTTGTGTAAAGAATTCTTCCTTCCTTCCTTCCTTCCTTCCTTCCTTCCTTCCTTCCTTCCTTCCTTCCTTCCTTCGAAATCAAGAGGCAGATTAATATAATCTGGAAAAATTATTTTGTTTTTTATCAAAAACTGTTTAGAAAAGATCAAATCCTACAGATGCCGTTCACCTTACTCAGCACTCTCTCAGGGCTGTAGGAGACCCACAGCCTCCAGACCTCCAGCCAGAGCTAGCTGTCTTCTTCCTCGTTTGAATGTTCACATCTACCTGGCTTGATTTCCCAGTGGAGTGACTCAGTAAATGACTTTAGATTTGAAGCGGCTGGTGGAAGTTAGTTTGGCTCTCCCACTCCATTGCGATGCAGAGCTGAGTATGCGCTGCAACTTCTTGAAGAGGGGAAATCATTAAATTGCACACTCTGAAAATAAGATTACTGCTGAAAGCCAGACAGGTCTGGTTGTTTCTGCTTACTGCAGCTCTTTGCAGCTTGACCTCCATAACACAATAATGCCTTACCCAATATGACTTTCCCGCTATTGCTCTCATGAAAACAGTTTTCATTCTTTTCTCTGTTTCTCCTGCAGCACTTTATGTTGCCCCTCACTACATTTTTCTCTACGGCTGAGATGGAGAAGGTGTTTGTAAATATTAAGGTAAGTTATTGTCTTTGAATACAGTCAGCTTGAAATAACAATTATGATTTTAATTTACTAATATAATAATATTCCCCTTCTGACAGCTTGGGATTGAAATTAAACTATTATGGCCACACTGCAGCATAACAAACGAAGAATAGTTTTTGCCTTGACCTAATCACATACTAACAGAATGACAAAAAAATGCATTAATTCTCTCTGTATTTTAAAGTTACTTGCTAAGGGAGTCAATATGTCAATGGATGTATCAGGACTTAGTATGGTTAAAAAACTGATCAATTTTAGATACTATTTCTAGCTTATCAAGAAAGTAGAAACTTTACAATGACAATTATTTTTCAAATGTCATTACTGTATAAAATGGTCCATTACTGTAGCTAAGACCATAAGAAAAGCATTTCTATCACAAGTTTAATATTAATAAGGCCATATACCCATTTATCCATCATCATGGCAGTAGAATCTGGGTGCGCTTTGGCAGCTTTAGCTCCCACTACCACCAGTGTTAGTGTTTTATGCCAGGTGCTACTTGTGTCTTTATAAGTGTTTGCATCAAAACTTTTTTTTTTCGCCACTTATTAAATTTAATCATTAAGCTTTCCTCTTTTTATTAACACCACTGCTGGGAGTTGCTAACTCACATGGCTCCATTGCCTCTCAATGGTTACTCCGTCCTTAGTTTTTTTTTTAAGAGAGCATCACCGCCCAATATATTCTCATTATCAGTTCGTACGAAAAGTTATGCACAGTATTTCGTACATTTTTGACGTTTTTCCTCGAAAATACAGATCAGTGAGCATTCGTAGCCAGGCAGATGAAAAAAGCAGATCCGCAGACGGACGTAAAACTGGGAAAAACAGTGCAATAATTACGTCTTCATGTCTCTAACTAGGTTGCTTGCTGTTTTGTATCTTAGGAGTAGGGTCAGGGTTAGGGTTAATTGTATGTGAAATTCTATGTTATTGAATGGTGCGTAAGATGCACATGCGCAAGGATATCCTGTCTTGAGCCAAGACGTAAAAATACGACGAAACACGACGAAAAAAACGAAAAAAAAACATAAAAAACGTACGAAATTACTGTGCATAACTTTTCGTACGATTTCATACGAACTGATAATGAGAATACACTGCACCGCCACCTACTGCATTATTGTTTTATAATTGTGCACATGTGCTACCTACTGTGAGATATGTCATTTACTCAAAAAAGCTCTTTGTTTATTATTTAAATAAAACAAAAACAAAGTTTCAGACAAGGAAATAATGGTCAATCAATTTTGCTAGGGATTGTTCCGGTTAAACATTTTCCTCTATTCATCTGTTATGATACCCATATTTTAGCTTTGAGTTTTGACCGACAGTGGTGTTGATTCAATATGACATCAGCACCAATCAAAGATACTTTTATAGTTTATGGCCCTTTAGTTTGGATCATTAGGATAGCTCTGTTGTCAATATAGTGTGATGACCAAGGGTTTAACATGGGCTAGTTTAATATTTCTATGTTGTTGGCTGTAATAACTGAAATTTATCTCTGACGATCGGTGTTAATTGTCTGTTTTCCAGGACCTGGTTGAGGTTCACAAGAGTTTACTGGTGGATATCCAAGAATCAGTCCAAAACAGAAGTTCCCAGAACCTTTACAAAATATTCATCAATTTCAAAGAGAGGTATCAAAACAAACAACCCCAGGAACATTTTAGTTTTGGTTGTTCTTTGTTTTTGTTCTTCATCATGTCATCAGAGTTTCTCTAAAGCAGGATATACTGTAGTTTTTCATGCTTATGACATAAAATATTACAGACTCTGAGCTAGATGATTATCATTTTAACGTCACAGTGTATTCAGATTTCTCTTTTTTACAGTGTCGTTAGTTTAACAGTAGTACATTAGCTCCGGGACATTAAATGACTTTATGTCTTTAAAATTATTATTAAAATGAAGGAATACAGTCAAGCTATGATAACCTGTGACAGTTTTGTAACCAATCTTTTCTTCCTTTTGTTTTTCATCCAATCCAGGTTGTTGATCTATGGGAAATATTGCAGCCATGTGGAAACAGCCATCGCCACCCTGGATGACATCTGCAAAAACAGAGAGGATGTACGCATGAAACTAGAGGTAAACAGCTACATATCTGCTTTTAAACAATAAATAAATACTCTTTTATGATGCAGTGTAAAAAAATGCAGTAGATTCAGCTGCTTAGAGTGGATGGAGGGTGCCCTCAAGTGGGCATATGAGGCATTGCAAGATTGGGATAGTGATAATCTGCACGTTTTAAACCTGTGAAGCATTAATTCGAAGAAAATTGTGCGAACATACAAAAAAATTAAGACAAATTCATTTTTATTACTGGAATTGAGTAAAATAGTATTATAAGTCTCTAATGTATAGTTGGAAGTATTTATCATTGACTCTTTTTTTTTACTTTATGCAGGAATGTTCAAAGAGAGCCAATTATGGCAAGTTCAGCCTGAGAGACCTGCTGGTGGTTCCCATGCAGCGAGTGTTGAAGTATCATCTCCTTCTGCAGGTAAGGCATTCTGGACTGTCATGTTCCTGGTCAGCTGCTGTCTTTAACTCTGAGGACCGTCTTACTGTAAAGTTACTAAACTTGAATAGTGCCATGAATATTAAAAAAAGAAATATTTTCTTCTCTTCTGAGGATTAATGGAGCCAAATTTCTGTATAATAATTAATTTAATTGATAGTTGATTTTATAAGATCATTATGAGTGTATTAAAAACAAACAGAGTCATTAGTTTTCTTCTGTGAGAGAGTAAGAAATGTTTAATTTATTAAACCACAATAATACAAACCATCTTCGTAATTAATTTGTCCAAATTTCTGAGTCACCATGTTTTCTGCGGACCTGTTTTCAGTTGGGTTTTTATTATGTCAGTCTGTATCATTACATCAAACTGTTAAAGACAATATTCTTATCAACTTTTAACATTAAATTCTCAGTAAATGTTAAGGTTCAATCTGCATGTCACTGATCTAAAACAAATGAATCCCTTTTGTAACCTGACAGCTGCGATGAAGCGATTTATCCACTAGAGGCAGCATTGACCGTGTTTTACATTTGTCCTTCAGGCTGTGCTGCTCATCTGGTCTTTTTTGTTTACCTGCTTTATGGCTGAGACTTTAGAATAGATGCAGCGTAATTATACCTCAGTAGAGACAATTGGGGATGAATGCATAGCAGCAAATGAATAAAGCGAGGAGAGGAGGAGAGGTGTAACAATAAGGACAAACAACTAGAAAGAGAGTGGAAGCTTCTTCAGACACTCATCTACCCTTTTAATTTGTTCATTATTTTATAAGTAACAGTAATGATATGATTAATAGTAATAGAGATTCCTACAATAGTATCAACAACAAAAAAAGAGCAAAACGGACTGTTCAAAATGCCCAAATTTTGAAATGACACTCAGAGCTGATGAGGCTCTAAATTTAGTTGAATGTTTTAGGATAAATATAGAACCAGAAGTGTCAGATTTTAAGCTTGATGTTCTTTTTTTTTTTTTTTTTTTTTTCTAGCGGTGGTTTTGCGCCGTTTTTTTTTTGTTGTATTTGTCGAGACTT